CTTATCGTTCGCAGCAGCAGATGAAGATCGAGGACACTGTGCTAAGTGATACAGGATGGACACAGAGAGACAAATACTGCGTGGCGTCACTCATGCGACATCTTTAAAAAAAGGCCCAACTCATAGAAACAGCGGAAAAGTGGTTGCTAGGGGCCGGGAATTCGGAGAGCTGGGAGTGTGAAGGGCATGGACTTTCAGCGTAAAGGCGAGTACGGCCTGAGGGTCCCGGGCAGAACACAGTGACCGGCTGGCAGCCCTGGACTAACTGAAGTTGCCGAGAGAGTAGAGCTTAACTGTTCACACCAAAAAAAAAAAAAAAGATAAATGTGAATAAAAAAGAAGAATGAAGGTGTGCCCCCCATGCGAAGCGCGGGTCCCCCGTGGTGCCACAGTGTGTGAGGTCACAGTGTGTGAGGCCCCCCTCGTACTGGAGCACAACGTCCGCGGGGCGGATCTAACTTCTGATTGGAGCAGTGTGAGAGAACAAGCCGTGTTCCCCCCACTCTGCGTCCTTTCCGGTCACGCGGGGCACTCCCCAGGTACTTCGTCCATCAGTAAGAAGCCATGTGTTTGAAACACAGATAAAGGCTTCACAGCAACACATCACTGGCCACTTGTTTTCAAGAAGAGCTATTGGAAATTCCAGAAAGCAGAGGCATAGCCCCTTGTACGTTTCTTTGTGTTCACACAGAGTTCCGTTGCCGTGATCGGTAACTGACAGAAAGTCTAACGTGCTTCTCCCGGGGACAATCCGGACCTGTCCCCTGCCCCTGCTCATTTGAAAATGTCATTAGCAGAGCCGGTTAGTCCTGTCAACAGGAAAGTTCTCCGATCCTGCTCAGGCTTGACCAGAGGAGAGCACAGGTCCTGCCCGAGCCCAGGGTCAGCTGCTCAGTGCTGTCTCAGAAAACCAGGGCGTGTGGAAACTGGGTTGTGGTTTGGGGCTGGAAATAGAAAGACGGGAAGGAGAGAGGGTTTTCCCATGCAGGAAGCTGTTTCGGTTAGAGAAGGATCTTACTCTGTGAAGAGTAAGTGTCAAAATGTTTCCTTAGGAATCTGAGCGTTCCTTGAGCTGGGAGACGGGGGCACTGACTTCCTTGTTTCCTTTCTGGAGCTTCAGCTTAGTCTTAGTCCTCCTGCTTGACTTGGAGAAGCCAAGCTCCTTTAATGGCTGCTAAGCTGGCTGTTACGGTTCAAGGGCATTTGACTCTCGCGTGGTCAAGGTGCAGCATTACTTGACCTTCCTTTGGCAGCAGTGCTAAATTAGTCAGGCTGCGTTCATCCATCGCCCGCCACCCACGACCATGCAAAGCATTCAAAAGAGAACTAGGAAAAAAATAATCGCACTTTTCAAAATTCATCTCTTTTTTTTCCACTGGAAATCAACACCTTCTTCTTATGTAGATTTTTTTCCTACGAAGACGAAATTGTTATAAATGACATCATCATTCCACTTTTTAAATTATTTGATACAGTTCCAGAATCATGACTAACTTAAAAAATTTTAAGTAACAAAGTTGCATCAGAAGTAGGTATTGGAGGAGGAGAATAGGGCTTCAGGTGCTTCCACATCCTGTCCCTTGGGTGGTCACCATCTGCTTCAGTACGATTTTATTTATTTAGTCTTGTCTGTGTGGGTGACTTTCACATTTACTTATCTGGCTCATATATCTCTGATCTCAGACTTGTGCTTGGTATTTTGGGCTTCTTGTCGCGATCTCAAACATAACGTACCCCAGACTGAACTCTTGGTTTTTTCATCTCAAACCTGGTTGTTCCCAGTTTCTGGTTGTTCCCTGAGGCTTGTCTTGAGCCCTTTTTCCACCCCACCCCCATATTTCCATAGCTAATATGTGGACAAGTCTTGTTCTGTCTCCAAAATATATCTTGACTCTACGCCTTATGTCCGCCCCACTGCAAGGCCCCATCCAGGCCACACAGCCTCCCACCTGGACTGTTCCAGCGGCCAAGGGGCCCCGGGGACCGGCACGCCAGGATCTCGCAGGTCTCCCTGGCGTGCGGCTTACTCTGTATACCATCCCAAGGACTGGAGCCGGGGCCAGTAGATACATACTATAGGGCAGCGGTCTGCAACCTTTGTGGCACCAGGGACCAGGGCTCCTATGAGAATCTAACGCCTGAGGATCTGAGGCGCAGCTGAGGCGGTGATGCTGGCCTGGGGAGCGGCTGCAGATACTGATGAAGCTTGACTGGCTGGCCCGTCGTTCGCCTCCTGCTGTGTGGCCCGGGCCCTGACAGGCCACAGACAGGTACTGGTCCATGGCCCAGGGATTGGGGACCTCTGCTCTAGGGAAATTGACCTATGAGAATCTAACGCCTGAGGATCTGAGGCGCAGCTGAGGCGGTGATGCTGGCCTGGGGAGCGGCTGCAGATACTGATGAAGCTTGACTGGCTGGCCCGTCGTTCGCCTCCTGCTGTGTGGCCCGGGCCCTGACAGGCCACAGACAGGTACTGGTCCATAGCCCGGGGATTGGGGACCTCTGCTCTAGGGAAATTAGTTTTCAAATCAGTGCAGAAGGATTACCTGCTGGAACTGTCTGCGGATGAAGGGCATTGCTGAGCAGGCAGTAAGTTCCCCTGGCTTTGGTGGAAGTTTTTGATCTCGAGATATATGTCTACTTAACATCTTTGTTGTAAAGGAATTTGAGGCATATCCGATGCATAATTGTCCCTTTCAACCTAGAGTCATTAATTCTATGACATTGATTTTAAATGATTAAGGACGAAGTTGGTAATAAGTAATTTTCCAGAAAAAAGGACTAGAAGGGACAGTCAGGAGAAGCAAAGGAGTTTTGCCGTTAAAGGAAATGCAGGCTGTTATTGTTCTGTTGTTAGGGGTAATCCAGTGGGAGGTGGCTTGGGAGCTAGGCTCCGTGGGAAACAGGTGCAATTTCCCTGGAGAAATGCATTTCTGAAGCCGAAGAGAGGCCTGTGTGGACAGCTACGTGTGAGCATTTCCCGATTCTCCCGTTCTCCCCGTGGGTCGTAATTGTTCTTCATAAGTTAGGAAATTGAGTATTTGACTGAGGGGGTGAGGGAGGGCCGCGGGTTAATGACGAGGGAGGGAGATGAAAACCAGCCCCACGGCTGCTCCCTCTGGACGGTCTCCGTACTCCGCGTGTGACCATCAGCAGCCGGTCTCTGCTTCTGCTGTCATCATTCAAGTATTTGCCCCTCTGAAGTTCGTCCTTAAAGAGCTGAGTTGTAGATTCTAGGCTACTGACCTGATTATCATCTTTAAGTGAAGTGGTCATTCTAAAGTACAAAACCCAACCAAAATTTTGGGAATTCAAGTTGGATTAAAAAAAAAGGAATATTTTAAAATCAAACCTGAGTTCTGAGACTGTACGTTCTGAAGACAGATGTGGCACCCGGACATAAAGAAAACAGATTTGTGAAATTGTTTTAGGCACAATTCTATGGCGCTTCTCAAAATAGGCTCTAGAACTTGAGCAGGAATAATGGCCCGGAGGGTTAGTGACGGCGGATTCAGGGGCTGCTTCAGACGGTCTGAGGTGGGAGCTGGGCGTTTGCATGACAGGCTGCGGGGATGCTGCTGGTGGCACCGGTGTAAAATGCACTGCCTTGCCTAGTCCTGCTCAGTTAGAAAGCAGATGATTAGAGATTAGCTAATGATTGGAGTGACTGAATCTTAAACTTCATTCTCTACTACTTCTAAGATTCTTGTTACACCTACAGACTGCCTATTTTATAATGTAGTCCTTCGAATTAGCCTTTTAGTCGAATGTTATCAAATGAAACTGTATAAGTAGAAAACTAGTACTACTTGTCATATATAGATCACTTTCAAACAAATTTTTTAAAATTATAAAACTCTTGCTAAATATTATTTCTGAAGTTCTTAGCCCGAAGCCTATTCTTTTCGTGACACTCTCCAGAAGGCTGGAGAACACTGAAAAGAACTTCCGTGCCCTAGGACCCAGATGCCACTTAGCGCCGTGTGCACACACGACCTAAGGCAGCCCGCCTACTGCTAGCTGTGCTTGCCCCTGGCCTGGGGAGCAGGCTCCCCAGGACACGCCTTCCTCTCCTTGTCCCCGGCTTCCCTCCACCGCCCCAGCCAGTCACTGCAGAGGCAGCGGAAGGCGGCTCCCCCGTCTCACCCGCCCCTAGACATCGCTTTGGCGCTAAATATGGGCAGGGACGAGGCGGGCCGCTGGGGCTGTAACAGTGCTACTGGGGATGAGGGCTTCCTGCAGAGCCACCTTGACCCTCGATATCATCTTATTACTACGTTGTCGTCTGTGCACAAAATGTCTACAGAGCCGTAATGATGGTTGACGAATGTGCCTCCCTTAATTAAATTATGGGAGAGAGCGGCTGGAAGGCATGTCCCATAAGCATACAGACTGGCTGCAAAGCTGAGATTTTAGATCTAGAGTCAAAAAAATAACATTTAAAAATGTAAACAGAGGCTCATGGACATGGGGAATAGACTAGTGGTTAACGGAGGGCAGCGGGGGAGGTGGAAGAGGGGAGGTACATGGGGTAAAGCGGGTTAAACATGTGGTAACAGAAAGAACTCTGACTATGGCTGGTGAACACACAATGCAACATACATGTGCATTACTGTTGAATCGTACACCTGAAACTTGCTGCATTTCATTAACCAATGTCACCATAAAAAAAAAATGCTAGGGAAAAAAAATAAAAAGACAGAGAGCTAAAAAATAAATAAATAGAACGTAATCTGGGTAACAGCTTAATGAACAGCCCTTTGGAGGGGGTGGGAGCCCACGCCGTAGCGTGGGAATGCTGCGTCACCTCCGGCTCAGGGATAAAGGGCACAGTTCCGACGCCAACCCGCATCTCAGACAAGTCATAAGTAATCCGCAAAGGAAGTGAACGTGAAAACGGTTCCCAGGAGAAACGCATGATACCTGAAGACACTGCTGTGTACAAGATGCATATAATTATTACATTTGAAAAAGTTTCAATTAACCAAACAGACAAAAAATTGAACTGTGTAGCAAAATGCCAACTTTTTTACTCTATTTAAAAAAATACTGTAATGTCACGGAGGGAGACTGATATTTACCTGGAAAAGAAACTCCACTAAAGCTTCTAATACATGGATTTTTATAAAAACAATATGATCAGGGCGAGAGAAATATAAAATACTTTTTAATAAATGAACCTTTTTTCTTGAAAAAGAGTCACCTATAAGCTTTTATTTTGAAATAAATTTAAAGAGAGCGGGTGAGAAACCGTCAGGGTTTCCGGGTACGGCTGAAGGCCCATCTGCTTGTTGTCCTTCAGCTTTTGTACTATGACTCTGGCAAATTCTTCTCCTTGGATGTCAGTGGTGTCCAGTAACTGTCTGACTTTTGCGGTCCTCGTGGGCTTGGTGCTAATGAGTTCATAGTCCTCCTTCATGATCAAGTCCCTGGACAGCAGGGCGTCCAGCGACTGGTTGAGGCAGGCCTCGGTCATCTGGCTCACAATGTCCTCTCTTTTCATCTGGACCCACTGCTGGGCCACGCCAGGCTGTGAACCCTCTGCGCAAGAGCAGGCATGACAAGTCAAAGGGAAAGATAGACGCGTGGCTAGGAGTAAAATCAGATGAAAAAAGAGGCATAAAACCTAATTTTACTATGATCGCGCTCATAGGGAAAACTAGTATTTTGTGGGGATGCTGTTAATTTTCAGGAAACATTCAGATTTGGGTTATCTCTTCCCTTCCCCTCCCAGAAAAAGCACTGCCTATTTATATGCTATGCATCATGGGGCAAAACTACTTTTATTTTATTTATTTTTTTTTTTCTTATTATAAAAGATACCTGCATATTCGTTAAATAAACAAAAATAACTTTACCTTTAGTAACATATTGGGTCCCACCTCCTCCTAGAAGCCCTCCCTAGGAATACTGTCTGGGCCTGTCGCTCCACGTCAACCCTCCTGTCTTCTGGGGTTGCAAGTGCTTTCCGACTTAAGAAGGTATATATTTATCGTATGGAGGAAATGAGGCCAAACAATGCTGGCTGTGTGGCAGACTGAGCACTGAGTGGAGAGGGGCCTGGCTGGCACCACTGATAGGAAGTCTCACAGCAGACAGGTTACCTGCATGTCCCTCGGCCGAGAGTGGATTTACAGCTGCCAAGGAGCACGGGGCGGTCCTGTGGTCGCAGAGTGCTGTCCTCCGAGCCGCAGACATGTTGCTGTCCCAACTGTGATTTGCCGGATGGTGATGCTGCATAAAGTCTTGACTTTTTCCTGTAAAACGACATCTTCATTAGAGGTAGAATATTCCTTAGCTATTCCTGTTAGCTAAAATGTCCACATCTGGCTCATACAGAGGAGCATTCAACACCTTTAACTTTTCACTGCTGTCGAAGCTGGTTCATGAACCGAATTCCACAGGTCAGTGTCTTTTTGAATGGAAGGGCTTACGCTGAATGTCTTTTTACCATGCTTCTGTTCTATGTAAATGACAAGTACGGGCTCTTACTTCTTTACACATCCCCTACTTCTTCCTGTCTTCTTCCTCCTCCTGCAGTTTAAATGTGTCCTCTAAATCTGTGTATGACGTGTGCTTTTATGTTCTCCTGTTCAACCTCAGGGCCTCAGCTGTCACTTCTCTTCCCAAATCCATGTAATTAGATTTTCTGACTTCATGGAACCCCTCAGTCTCACATTTTAAACAGCCCACTGGACATCGTCCTCATATGCGCTGCTAAGCACCTCAGATTTAAAAGAAAAACATTAAAAACTTAATTATTCATCTTAACTCCAAAACCCAGTTCGACTCCTGTGCCTGTCGGCAGCACCCACGTCGCCCGTCCCCAGGCGTAACTCGCTTTCTTCCTCTCTCCCTCCCGCCAGCGTCCTCACAGCGGCTCCCGCCCCTCCCACCCCCGACACCCACAGGCCGCCTCCCTCTCAGCTGAGCCGCAGGAAGTCACCACCGTCTCCTAACTGGTCTCCCGCCTCGTGCCCCGCTGCCCAGAACACCCTGCACACCCCAGGATGAAGCCCCCTAGGGCCACGAATCTGAGCACGTTGCACCTCGCTCCGTCATCTGCAGTGGCTGCTCCGTACCCAGGTGGCAGCCCAGCCAGCTCAGCCCCGGGCTGGACTTGGCGACGGCGTGGCCGCACCCTGTCGCCTTCCTGTCACGCTCTTCACCAACCCGACTGCTCACTGTTCTGCGTTCTCTGTGCTGCTCCTTGCCTGGAATGCCCATCCTATGTAACTACAGGTCCAGCCTCCAGTCAGAAAGAGTCCTTCGTGATAACAACGCGGCGTAGTGGAGTGACATGAAAATACTTATTGAAAGACCCGGCTTCGAGTCTTGGATTTGCCAGCTGCTAACTATGTGATCCAGGAGTCTCGATCTTAAAGATGAGAAAATGAAGACTATCTCCCTCACGCGGCGGTGGCTGTGAAAGCACGTTGTCGTAAATGTCACCCCCGTCCCCGTCTCCTGCAGCGCGGTGTCCACCTCTCCCTCTCACACGGTGGTTACCCGGACACCTTTCTCCTCCTCCTCACAAGAGGTGTTTCCGTTTCTTTCTCTAGGGCCTAATGTAATGCCCGTGATAGTGAACACGTTGGTTAAACGGCCCACCACTGTTTCCATACCCTTAGACGCTGGCCCTTTGTAAAAACGAGCTATGAATGTAAATGAAAGACACGTTCTATACAAACCATGGTTGCTTGCCAAGAATCTCATCTTGATAGAAAATGGAAACCTTGCGAGTAATAGTGACTGAAAAATTCACGTACTGGATGAAGGCTCATTGTCCTGAGGAGCTGACAGGGACCTGGAGGTTCCGGGGGAACCACCGCTTTTAGGGGGCTGAAGTGATCCACACGATTCCTAAAGTAAGCAGGGGGCGAATGATCAAGGTCAATGAAAAATCACTTTTGAAGTTATACAGCTTTAATTTCTAAATATTTCTTGCTTTTGGCTTCTTATATACAAAATCAAAACTACTACAGATATTATACTTTACAAAACTATATCTGTATTTCTGTATCAAATAAACAAACGAACTTGATTTTTTTATCAACTCAAATTAGGGGGCCATGGTACTGCAACAGTTAATTATATATTAGAAATCATTAAACAGCCCACTGGACATTTTTTCATATTTGCTGTATGATCTCAGAGGCTCTGGTCCAGTCGATGGGACACTTGAAGTGTGCAGCTCTGGTCACCTGTGATTTAGATGGGATTCCTGTTCTCAGGGCCTCGGGCCCACCCATGTGGACGGGCCCATGCAGAGGCGACGGAGGCCGGGCCCTCTGCTAGCTCCTCACGCAGTTACTGATCTGCCTTCGAGGAGGCATTTAACCCTCTGGCCCTCAGGCTCTTTTCTGTGATAGCTTAGTCCCTACCTAAGACTGTGCACGTGTGGGCCCGGGGACCCCGCAAGACGGTGTACGTGAAGGTGACTTGGGCAATGTGCCGTGCTTCAGGGTCCATTCTGAAGGCATTTTCTGAGTCTGTATATTCTTAAAAGACATGACTACTATAAATGAAATAAGCCTGAATGAGGCCTTTCTTTGAGGACAGTCACACAAACGGTATTTCCCTGTTGCCAGTCACTGTGACCTCTCAGGGACGGGACAGGCGGCTGCGACAGCTCTTCTGCGTTTGGCCAGGAGGGCGTGTGCCGGGCGGCAGGGCCGCACCAGCGATCCCCACGCTGCCCGGACACCATTCTTCACACAGAACAATGACCAGGACAGAAGCCAGTGCCGACAAGGAAGCCGGAGCTGTCTTGGCTCACACGACAGTGACCCGAGAGTCAGGAGATCTGGGTTTCTGGCTGGAGGCTGCCGTGGGCGACCCAGCTTCCCAGAGCCCCGCGGCTTCAGTTTCCCGTCTGTAGAGGGACTTAGACGAAATGCCCTCCCACGCTCTCCTCATGCTGTGAGTTTATCAGCGTAATTCTTTTTTACCTCTTGTGGACCATGTTTTAGAGAGACGCTCAGAGATAACTCCGTTTTCTTGTCATGTAAGTGGACAGTACTCGAAGCACTCCGTAACTGCAGTGAATACATTGATTGGAGGCGATTAGGAAATTATGTGAGTAAAATACTCGAACAAAACAACTCACCCTAAATGGTGACCTTCGTTACCAGAAATTTATGAAACATCTTATTAAATTTATATTCCACTCTTGGCCCTGCCGTCAGCTGGCCGTGCAGGGTGTTATGGGACCAACCTCCCTAGCATCAGTCACCTCATCTATAAAATGGACATGAGATTCTCGCCCTGCCGATTTCACAGAATTGATAAAGGGATTTAAAAAAATATATAACAACTCTAAGAGAAAACAATATGGCAACTTAAAAACACTGAAGAAAGTAATACTATTATTAAATGTTATTCCAATACTATTATTAAATGATTATTAAATGATATTCTAGTGTATATATTAAAAATATGTACTTTGAATTATTTTATTTAAAAAGCCAAAATTTGTTCTAAAAATGAACAGTTTTAAATATAGATCCCAGTGTTTAAGTTATTTGGAGAAAAAAGGAACTGGAATGTTCTCTTCTGCTTCATAACTAAGGAAACAGACCCTTTTATCGAGCTCTGCGCATGAGAAGAGAAAGCTGTGAGCAGAGGAGAGAGACTGAAAAGACAAAGCAAAAGGAAATGTTCTCAGAAGTAAATATCTACTAAGAAGTGGAGAAATCAGAACGTTCTGGTCAAGACTGTCTACTCCGAAGTGGGGAAGTCAGTGAAAAGTTATCGTAAGAATTAGCACATTTCCTCTCTAGTTCCTAGTACTGCCATGTCAATTTTTAGTCTGGTGAAGTGTCGCTGTTTCCTTTAAGCACGTACGTCCCTTCTAAACCAAAGGTATGTCGCAAGAGTCCCTAACTGCAGGTTATGCTTGTTTACAACCCAAGAGTCTGGCTAATAACTAACGATTTTTATTATCTTTCACATGCAGTCGAATGAAACGCAGCACGCACGAAACTGCTGACTCTGTCCCTCAGGGGCTGTAGTTGCTTTGCAAACAACTTTTAATGACGAGAGAGCTCTGTGGTAATGGGGCCCGTCAGTTCTGACCTCCAGGAGCCAGCATGAGTAAACGAGACAACTGCTCTAGGTGACCTGTATCAACTGCTGCTTTGTTCTTTGCGACATGAAGTGAATGGGACAACGAAAAACAAGCAATTTTAAAAATATACATTTTGATTTTGGTTATTAATAAAAATTCTACAGCTTAACTTAAATCTTGGAAAACCCCAAGAACACTAGATAAAGTGCAGGTGCCCAGACATCTATTATTCTGTATGTATTAAAACTTTAGGGAAAGCCACGCAGACTAAAACGAACCCCTAGCTGATTTAGGGCATTCATTGCACACACTGGCATCCGTTATGCATTTAAACTTAAATTTGATATGTGGGGGTTCTAGCAATGTCTTTGAAATCCGGAGGTGGCCATTTGAGTGAAAAGGAAAAGCTCTCTCATGACAAGGAAAGATGGTTTCCGGAGTCTCTAGTAAACTCTCCTGCTCCAATACTGTAGCATACCTGTGAAAAGTATGTAGATAAAGACTATAAACTGGACTGAACATCTCCATGACTGACATACAGTTGTTTAAAGTCCGATTTCCAGCATTTCGTTTAGCAATTTACCTTTGTTTTCTTTAGTTGCATAACAGCTTCAAAAAAAGTTATCTCTTCAAATGTCCTCAGAACTGGTTCAAGTTCTATTAAACATTCTAAATAAAAAAATAAATTGAGTTCAGATTGCTTCCAGTCATTAGATGGAATAATATAAATGCTAATATTTAACTGATATGGCCCTAAGTAAATTTTCCCGCAAACTGATGACATTCAACTTATTACAGGCATAAAGGTATCATATATATACCATAAACAAAAATAAATTCAAAATGGATTAAAGACATAAATGTAAGACCTGAAGCCATAAACTCCAAAAAGAAAACACAGATGGTCAACTCTCTGGCATAGGTCTCAGCAGTATTTTCCACTCCATCTGCTCAGGCAAGGGCCACAGAAGCAAACAAACAAACGGGACTAAAGCAAACTGAAAAGGCTTTGCACAGTGAAGGAATCCAAACCAGCAAATACCAAAGCAACAAACAAAAACACAACCTACTGCATGGGAGGAGATATTCACAAACCATACATCTGATAAGGGATTCACATCCATAATATAAAATGAGCTCATACAACTTAACACCAAAAAAACCCAAACGATCCAATTGAAAAATGGTCAGAAGACGTAAACAGACATTTCTCCAAAGAGGACATATGGATGGCCAGCAGACATACGAAAAGATGCTCAATGTCACAAATCATTGGGAATTGCAAGTTAAAACCACAATGAGTTCTCATCTGGCACCTGCCAGAGTGCCTACTATCGATTAATCAACAAACGGGTGCTGGGGAGGATGTGGAAAAGGGAGCCCTCATGCACATCGGTGCAGCCACTGTGGAAAACAGTATGGAAGTTCTTCAAAAGATCAAAAATAAAACTACCATGTGACCCAGCAATTCTACTTCTGGGTACTTATCTGAAGAAAACTAAAACACTTACTCAGAAAGATATCTGCACCACTATGATCGCTGTAGCATTATTTACAATAGGCAAGATGTGGAAGCAGCCTAAGTGCCCACTGATGGACAAATGGATAAAGAAGAGGTGGTCCAGGTATGCAATGGAATATTACTCAGCTGTAAAAAAAAGAATAAAATCCTGCCATTCGCGACAACATGGGTAGACATAGAAGGTATTATGCTAAGTGAAATAAGAAAAACAGAGAAAGACAAATACCATATGATCTCACATGTGGAATCTAAAAAAAAAACTAAACGAACAAACAAAACAGAAAGACCCACAGATACAGAGGACAAGCTGATAGTGGCCAAAGGTGGGGGGGAGGGGATGGGAACAAATAGGCATATAGATCGACAGGACAGAAATGGAATTGACAGTCTAAAAATAAACCCTTACAGTTATGGTCAGTTGCTTTTTGACAAAATTGCTAAGACAGTTCAACGGGTTAGACCACGAATTAGATATGACATTGAAACCGGGATCCATAAAATCACTGATCATTGAACTTCAAAAAATTAAAAACTTTTGCATTTCCAAAGACACTATTAAGAAAAATGAAAAGACAGACTTAGAGAACATTTTTGTATATCATGTCTCTGCTAAAGGACTTATGTCTATCTAGACTATATGAAGAATTCTGGCAACTTGATAAGACAAATAACCCGATTTGAAAATGGGCAAAAGACTAAATTTCACCAAAGAAGATATACAAATAGATAAAAAGCACGTGAAAATATGTTTAATATCATTAGTCATGAGGAAGTGCAAATTAAAAGTACGATGAGATATCATGCCATACCCACTGGAATAGCTATAATTAACAAGACAGATGATAGCAAGAGTTGACAGCGATGCAGAGACGCTGGAAATCTCACACTGGCTGGTGGAAATGCAACGTGATAGGAAACAGCTTGGCAGTTTCTTAAAAATGAAAGGTAAATGTAACCTACTACCCAGCAAATGAACAGCAGCATTATTCATGGGGCCGACAAGTAGAAACAATCATAATGACTACTGTTACTACAACAATAAATGAACTCGTTGCTCAGGGAGCGGCCAGGGCTCCGATATAAAGCTGGGTGTCCCTAACACGGGGTGGCACGTAAAGCCACGGTCTGGCCTGGCTCACTCGGAAGGCACCGGGGAGAGCGAGGAGTTAAGGGCCCAGGTCGGAGCTCTGAGGGATTCGCAGGGTAAGGAGCTGAGCAGAGGAGAGAGAGAGGGTGGGTCTCCTGGGGCTTCGGGGCCGCCCCAGGGAGTTTCCAGGAGAGAGTGGCCAGTCATCTTTGACCCACCGGGAGCCCAGTGAGCAGGCTGGCCCAGCGTCGGTGTCGCTGGAGCCCCGCATGCAGCGGTTCCAGGGGAGATGGTGAGCAGGTGACCGGCAGAGGCTATTAGAGTGAGTCTGGGGAGGGGGCTGGCAGACAGTCCCCGAGGTGCTCAGCTGAGTGGGGGCAGGGAGGGATGGTGAGGGGCCACGATTTTCCCTCCATGTAGGAGACAGTGCAAGAGCTGAGAGGGAACGTAAGGGACGGGAGGGGAAGAGGGCGGTCCCAGAACACGGCGACACGGTTCACGCGGCGTGTGTGTGCAGACGAGATTTCCCGGCGGACACGAGTAGAGTACAGTCTGCAGACCTGGCAGGGGAAGTGTGTGCAGACGTGATTTCCTGGCGGACACGAGTACAGTCTGTAGACCTGGCAGGGGAAGTGTGAGGGGACCCTCTTGTGGTGTTTTCTCCACGTAGTGTGACAACCGGATCAGCTCGAAGGGAGGATGGAGCGTGGGTGTAGCAGCTTTAAGAAGGGAGAATAAGGTTCAAGACATGTTGCCCGTCTTCCCTTCCTAAGCTCAGCATCTCTTAGGAAAAACCGCAGCATGGAGCTAGAATTTGGGGGAAATGGAGAAAAATGACCATTTGGAAGTGGCACTAGGGACAAAGGAGAGATATACCTTCCCACATGGCTCTGGGGAATAAGATAAAATGTGAGCCCAATGTTTTAGCAGCTTTTGACTTTTAAAATACAAGGCTGATGAGCTCTGGACATAAGTTTTGAATGGAAAATATATTTCACTGTATAGCTGGAATGAAGGTTCCCAGTCTGTGGCTTGTCTTATTATTTTTCTTAATAGATCTTTTGCAATGCGAAACTTGTCCATTTTTGTGAAGTCCAGTTACCAGTTTTTTAGGGATCTTGTTTTTGATGTCATATCCTAGAACTCTGCCTCACCCAGAGTCATGAAGGGTTCCTCCTATGTTTGCATTTAGGCGATGGTCCAGTCTACCTCTGAAATCATCTTAACTCCAATTTTCCATCTCTAGGATCACCACCTTAATTAGAAAACGGCCCCAAGCATCTCCTGGCTGGCCTCTTCTACCCCACCAGCGGCAGGAGTGACTCCTGCACTCACACCGCTGCCCCTGCAGGACACACCCCTGGCTCCACACGGGGCTGGGGACAGGCACCCAAGCTCTGCAGGAGGGCCCCGCGGCCTGGCCCACCACTCCAGTCCCCCGGCGCGCCCTCCCTTCCTCACAGGCCTCTGGTTCCTCGCTTACTTCCTCACAGGGACTTCCACAGTCTGTCACTCGTTTGTGTTGGTTCTCTGCCTTCTTGGTTAGGACGTGAGCTCCCAGGACTTAGCAACCCACATGCTCTTGGTCACCACTCTGTCCCACCTCAGGATGCAGCAAGAGGTGGGTGTTGGGTACATACTTGCTGCATATGTAAACGGAATTAGGACTCCTATCGGACTTCTCTTTTCTGTTAGGAATTCTCAATTCTGCTCTAGAAACAGTCACCCTTTTATAAACATTATGAATAACAAGAGTGAAGAGAATGAAAACAACCTTGAGCTTGTCGTCTAACTTTTTTCAAGGAGTATTCGATTCGCAGCACACCCACTCAGAAGGCCCGGAGTGAGGCTGTGCACTCACTTAAGAAGGATGGCCTTTCATCCGGGTTCTGGGCCCATCCAGCTTTGATGAGAGCGAGCATCACTGCGCGGTGAGGTATATCAAACGGCAGACTTTCTTCACTAGTGTCGGGTCGATGACCCTGTGACACACTGTACATAATCTGCAAAGGATTGGTGACTTCTGTCAAAACAAATACATTTCATTCATTAGAAATATTTTGTGATCCAATATACTAAATACATTCTGAAACCAAGAGAAAATGAAGGCCTCTTAAAATCTTAGGACTGATTCATTGCCCCCTCTGTAAGGGGAGGGCGTGTCTGCCAGGCATGTGTGCCTCTGAGGGTGATCATGGGCCTAATTACTGTCGGCACAAGAATTAGAACCTAATTTTTCTGATCCTTAAATCTACTATGTTTTTCAGTATGTAGTGGATTCACAAATGATAAACTGCTGTGTTTTTACAGTGTGTTTTCCACAAAATGAATGGTAAGCAAATTGAAAATAAGATGAGCTTTAGCTAGTTCTGAGTGTGGCCTACCAACAAGACGTTGTCAGGATAAGGAAGTCAGAGTCCACTTACCCTCAAAAGGCTGTTTTCTGGATAAGACTTCCCACATGATAACCGCATAGCTGTTTTAAGACAAAAATATACAGAGAGTATATTATAAACTAGCTATGCACAATAAACTAAAATAACACTAAATTTAAAAGCTGGCTGTGGAGATGCCATTTTTGAAAGTGATAAGGTAGTGAATTGCTATATAAAGAATCGGCATATGTAACTAAGATAATATTCATATACAGTTTTGTTTTGAAAGGGAATTAATCCTAAATTGAAAAATTAGGGAATTACCGTTATCAAAACTTGAAGTTATATGCAAAAATAACTTGTGGATGATTTAATAATCATTCTTGAACACCTAGATAAGCTGTGCCCTCTAGCCGTATGACTTTACTGTTCACACAAAGCAGAGGGCAATAACAAAGACTGACTCACGTAGCCCTATTCCACAGACGTTCTTCTGGTCTAAGTACTGTCGTCTTTGGTAGAGTTAAGTGTTGACCATACTGTCTCCCCACCCCCATCAAAGTCACATGTGATAAAACTCCGAGTATTATAGAAAACATAAAGTAAGCTTTACAGATTTTTTCGAGGGTGTGAAAGTGGCTTAAAGCAAGACACCTCTGGTGTGAAAAACATTAATCACTGTGGCCTCGTATTCTCATCACACTATGAGAGAAGCACCAAAATGTAGCTTCGAAATTCTGATTAATCTTGCTTTTTAGACAAGTTAGTTCTGATCAGAAGTAACATACTGTACCTATATATATCATGCTTGACGCTGGCCCTTGATTTTTGTCCAGGTTCATAGTTTTCAGGTGGCATGTAGATAATTGTGCCTCCTTCCGGTGCAGATTTACTGCTTCGTGATTGTGACAGGGACATCAGGCGCCATTTTGATAAACCAAAATCTGCAATCTGTAAGGGAAAAGACTGAGTAATTGAATTTTAAAAATTTCTCTTTTAAAAAATCCAAGAATTGACTGTCTTTGTTTATATTCATTATATTCAGACAAGAGACTAGAGATCATTACCTATATTAACATTTTTTTCCTACATATTCCACCAATTTCTTAACAAATTGGATCCCACAGCACTGAGCCCAACGACTCTAGAGAAACGCATACTGACTTGCGGTTTAGCACAATATGCAAAATTTAAAAGGGAGACTATGTTTGGAATAATTAAAGAGGAGTATTTTTTGTATTATAATCTGAATGAGCATGTACACTGAACACTGAAAAGTCATGACGAGTAGCTTCGCAGCGTGCGGTTTTCAAATTTAAACAAACCTCGTGGAACTGCTAAACAACTCATATCTCAAAGATCTTCTCTGACATCCTTACAACTCAGGTTTGTATGTTCTTATTTATAATGCCCTAAAAATAGTATCCTTCAATTTTGAGATAAGCAGAATCCCAAGATAGTATGGCTCATTATTACATGACTTACACCTACTGCTATAAGGGGCCTATCTATTCATGTTCGTGACAATGACAGCCTAAAGAATTATCACTGATAAACATTCTGTACTTTTGATACATCCTTTATAGTTTTGCGTCACTTATAAATCTTGTGCAGATGTTATATAATATTTTATAACTCTAACTGTTTAAAAGGTACCTTAATTTTTTTTTAATGGAAGACAAAATATGAGAACCAACAATATTTAGTGGACAAAAGAGCTTGGGAAAACTCTGAAGACGTTTGATTTAAACTACTTATACCTTCTCACTGAACAATTTCAGAGTCAACACAGCGGAAGGGGCTCCACCCAGGACACCATCTGTACCTCAGTTGTTTCATTCTTATATTTTTACTGGTTTTAACAGAAACCAGTAAAGAAATCATTTGTTTAGTGTGTAGATGAAGCTGGGATTTAAAAACAATATGGCCCCACTCCAAAAAGGGAGGGAATGGACTGGATGAATCTTTCATACGTTATGATAGTTAAAGGTAAGTGTAAGAAAAAGTATCAGGGAAGACCAAGAGAAAACATGGTGCCAGCACAGGGAGAGCGGGGCCGGGCTGATTTTAAAAGGCACGATGTGGCTGAGGACTCGGGTTCTGGAACCTAGATTGCGTTAGGTGGACGTTCTCAGCTGCGCCTTCGTTAGCTGTGTGACCTTGAGCGAGCGTCTCCATTCCTCTGTGCCTCAGATCACCCTCCTGTAGCCTGGGGCTGACGACAGTGTCTGTATCATAAGGTTGTACTGAGAAAGCGAAACGAGCCATGTCAGAATGGTTGGCGTTTTGATCACAAGGATAAATCTCTGACGGTTGCTCTCGTTCAGGCAACATCAGCAAGCACGGCGCCGCGTGTCAGGCCCTGCGCCGCTTCGGCGGGACCGAGGCTCCAGGGACCCCGTGTTCCACGCCTCTCATCTGGACTGCAGAGTCCACGCCTCCTACCCTCTGAAAGCAAAGCAGTACTCCGGGCACGCATCTGCCAGGGTAAGAAGCATTAGCATGGTAAGTAAAGTTGATTTTTGTGCCAGAGTGAAAAATGCTAAAAAATTTGGAGTGTGGTCTCATCTCATATCTGAGCCATAACTGTATCACTAAAAAGAATGTACAGATGGCAGATTAGCACATGCAGAGTACTCAACATCATCAGCCATTACGAAGATACAAATCAAGGCTGTAGTGAGATACTACCCTGCACTTACTAGAAGAGCTAAAATAAAAACCGCGGTAACACCAAGTGCTGGTGAGGATGTGGAAAGGTCACACAGCTGCTGGAATAGAAAACGGTACGGGCACTCTGGAAAATCGTTTCTGAAAAAACCAAACATACCCTTACTATATGACCCAGCTGTTGTATTCCTGGGCATCTATCCCAGAGAAACGAAAACTGCTGTTCATTAAAAAGTTGCACAGGATTGTTCGTGGGGGCTTTGTTTTAACTGCCAAAGACTGAAATAACTTTTCCCCCAGTAGGTGGTTAAACGAGTGTGGTGCATCCGCACCATGGGGTACTGTTCAGCAGTGAGAGACGTGTCTCAGAGGCATCATGCTAAGTGAACAGAGCGAGTCTCAAAATACAACACACGGTGTGATTCTATTTATAGAGCATTCTCAAAACGATGAAATTATAAGGATGGAAAACAGACTGGTGGTCTCCAGGGCTCAGGGATGGAGGGGGGAGGGGCCGGAGGTGGGCCTGACTCTGAAGGGGCCGCACGAGTGCTGCCTTTGTGGTGACGTAGTGCTGTATCTCGCCGATTGCTTCTGCAGATTTGCACGTGTGTCACAGTGCCACAGAACCACATACGTGCATTGTACCAATGTCAGGTTCTCAGTCTTGAAACTGAAGTATCAGTAGGAGCGATGTAACTGCTGGCGGAAACTGGGTGAAGGACACCTGGGACCTCTGTATTATCTTTGTTTTAACTTCCCGTGACTCTATAGTAATTTCAAAATAAAAAACGTATATTCTACAATTTCGTTTAAGAACAAAATGATTTTGTAATTTGTACTGCAATTCTATGACTGTGGTCTAAGAATAACGAAGCCATTGCAGTAGGAAGGTGGGACACTGAAGATGAGAATTACAGGTTATGGCAAAGGGAGAGAGACTAAACTGGCTAGGTGGAAAAAATAACTCGAAAGTCTTTCTAAACCTATTAATCACAAAGATGTAGATAAACTTTTTTAAAAGTAATTACCTTAACATGAAATTCGTTATCCAATAAGATATTCTGAGTCTTCAAGTCATGATGAAGCAGAGGAGGGTTCATATTGTGCAGGTAGTTTACGCCCAGTGCAATTTCATGCAGGATGCGGAATCTCAGTGGCCAAGCAACCTCAGGGTATTCAGTTTTCTTCATGTACATGGAAAGAAACAAAACCCAAATCAGTGCCCAGAGTTCGATACATTCCTATCTGAAAATGAAATAGTTTATGAGGAAATACAGTATAAACTAAGGTAAAAACATATGCTCATTTTTATTACATAGTATCAATTTGACATTAACATTTTTGTATCTCATTTTCCTCACTGTTTAGAGAAAATAATAACTTTCTAGTACTCCTATTTCCTTTTTATATTGGTAATGTAATTACATGATATTGGGTCTTCTTTCTTCAGCTGACACAGTTTCAATTATTTTTTTATCTGTATAATACCCAGACACATATACCTAACCCACGCCCACCTCCCGTTCTATGGCTCTTATCAACTAGCTTGTTCGTGTGTGCACACGCACGTGCACACACACACACACAATGTTTCCAGTACATACCACCCATTGAATCAAAATTAATGTTTTAATTTTCCTATGAATATAAAATCATACCTTATTATAATCATTGCATCAATTAAAAATTATAACCATATGTTAACTAAGCATTACTGTCTCATACTTTTAATCATATAATTAATTTATTTGCATTCCAACTTGAAAAGTTAGCCTTAAGTTTTGTTTTTATGAAAGAGACAAAGATCATCTTCATTTCCAAAGCATATATAATACAGACACATTGAAGACATACTGTTTTATATTTCTTTGTACTTACAAGTGATATCCTTCTGAACTTTCTTAAAATAAATGTTTTCTGAACATAAAAATAATACAGCCTCTTGGGAGAATGAACATACTCAGAAAAATTACATATTTTGGGAAGAACCGACAGTGACTCATCGGGCACCATGCCACTGGGTACATTTTTCTAAATGACATGAAAAAGTATGCTTCTACTGAAAGCTCCAAACTATTCTTCAGAATTTTTTCTGCAAATGATCAACTTATAGTCCCAGTGAGCAACTTGGCAGGGAAATGGGCCAAAATACTTTGTGTTTACATTGTATTTTGATTTATTTCAAAGAACCTTTTGTGAGATTGGGGGAGGTGGTACTTCAAGATAAATTTCACCCTAATAATGCAGTACAGGAAACCAAAAGAAACACAAACACTGTGTTGAACGTTACTCACTCTGGTTTACACAGAGCCTCCTCCTCTACTTGAGTAACTGAGTCTTTTAATCCGTAAAAAGGTAACTTTTCTGAAAATTAGGTAGTTTAAAGGAATAAGGAGGCCTCTGCACACAGTGTTATGTGAAGGCTTCTGGTCACGGTCAAGTGCTCACTCTGTATTTTAGGGTTCCCTCTGGGAGTTAGCAATCCCCGTGAAGGAGGCTCTAGAATCTCTAGGGGGCTCCAGATCTGGGTGCCAGAGTATCTGTTGGGGTGCTGGGGTATGGAAGAAAAACATTAAAAATTCTCCTTATATTCATTTCTCACAAAGAAAAAAATGCGCCTAATTAATATTTGCAACCACTGCTGTAGTGGTTACACGAATCTCACTCCACCCTTGTTTCAGATGGTCACACCGCAGAGCGTGACGTGTCCTGAAACAGAGAGCGGATGTGGCAGAAGTGGCACCTGCTCTCCCTTGTCACTTACCGAACACTGATGTATCAGAATTAGGAGCACCCAGTAATTGGATTTTACTGTGTATACTATCCGGTTCAACTAAACAAATCTCACGATATGGACTGAGTATTTTAAAAAGATTTCTTGAGAGAAACTGCATGTTGGAGATAATAGTAATGACATCAGTTCAAGCAAACGACAACAGATGAATACATATATTTTGAAATGAGGATCCCCAAATTTGTTTACTAGTTGGATTCACAATGAGAGCCAGAGTAATTGGCACCTTGAGAAAAAAAGTAAGTGGCTCATGCTGTTCTCTAGTATGGAAAAGCTAATGTATTTGGTACCCAGAGACAGATTTATTTGGCCTGTTAATTCAGAACTTTATGAACTAGCATTATTACATTTAATTTGAACCCCGAATTGTCTTTAAAATCTGGCTGAACTAGGAGTGGACGGTATAGTGTGCAGAGTTTATCTTTTCTCTTTCCTGTGCCTACCTGTGTATGTGTACATGTGGATATTGGAATCGAGTGTAAAACTCACCAATAGTAACATAAGCAAAATCATATAGGACCCTTAGAATATAGGGCCTGACTCATATTATTTTTAATAACACAAAAGAAGCCATACGTGGTGAAACTTTACCACTGCAATTGTTTTTTATTCTTATTTTGATTCATCTGTATATCCCCAAATAGTTTGATCTTCTGTAAAACCAAAGCACTATAAAGCTTGAATTACAGCCACTGAAAACGTACAACACTTACCCTATGTAGGAGTTCATTTAATGATCCATTTGGCATGTATTCAGTAACTATTCCCAAAAATTCAGGCTCGTTGCAAATTCCCAAAATTGGAAGAATGTAACTAAATCTAGCTTTGTGTAAAATTTCAGCTTCTCTTAAGACATCATTTCTTTCACTAAAGAAAAAAAAGCATAATTATTTCAAAGTAATGAAAAAAATACATAATTAGCATGCCCATGATATTAAGTAAGCCTGGATTTTTTCATTAATTAGCTTTGACCTCACGTAAATTATGTAACTTCATCATATTTGAGGTAGGAATAACGCCTACCCTATAGATCCACAGGTTTGTTTAGAGACCAAAATAACTTCTAGAAGCCACTGACAGAAAAAAAGTGCCACGCCCAGGCTATTACTATGAGCTTTCCCAGGAAAGGAAAAGTCAGTTTATAAAGTCTGATTAGAATGACTGTGAGTGAGGTAATAAGTTCATGTTGTACTAAAATGATCGGATTCGATTCGAATATTGTATTTTATGGTTGTATACCATGTAAAATTTCCCCCAATATCTTGAATATTAAAACATTTAAATGTTGGTGATTTAAATGACTAGGTGATAGTTCTTATATCCTGGAACTCAGGAAGAGAACACAGAACAGGTACATGCTTACAACAGATGCCTGGGGTAACTGGATCCCAGGGTCATTTGCTTATTCATACATAAGACAAATAAATATCGAACTTTTATTAAGAATAAATTATGAGCATTATGGAGAATCTACATATAAAAAAAGTCCGTCCCCTCAAGCTGCCCAGAAATCTTTTAAGAAGAAGAAATACTCGTTGTGGTTTCGATTGGCATTTTCCTGATGGTAAGTGATGTCGAACACCTTTTCAAATACCTATTGGCCATTTGTATGTCTTCTTTGGATGTGTTAACTTGATTTTGGTAATCATTCTGCAATTGAAATGTATATCAAATCATCACGCGGTACACTTTAAATATACAGTCCTGCACGCATAACGCTTTGGTCAAGGACATATATGACCATGGTCCTAAAGGATCACTGTGGCTTAGTGACACTGTAGCCGTCAGAATGTCACTGCACAATGCAGTACCCGTGTTTGCGGTGGTGCTGGAGTAAATAACCTACCGTGCGGCCGGTCATGTAAAAGGACAGCAGTGCGGTTATGGACATAATATTGGGTCATGATAACAAATGACTACGTTACTGGCTTATTTATTTACTATCCTATACTTTTCATCATTATTTTAGAGTGTACTCTTTCCACTTATAAAAAAAAGGTCTGCTGTAAAAGCGTGCTGTGTCACGCAGGCGGCAGCCTCCTGCATCTCGTGCTTACTGTCTCTCGATTGAATTATTTCTCTTGTGTTTGCTTTAATCCTGTGTTGTTTTGTACAGTAACATGCTGCACAGGCTTGTAGCCCAGGTGTGCAGCAGGCTAGACCATCTAGGTTTGTGTGAGAGCCTCTGTGATGTTTGCCTAATAATGACGCATTTCTCTGAACGTCTCCCTGTCGTTAAGTGGCACGTGACTGTACACAAGTATATTTGTCAATTATTCCTCAATAAAGTTACAAAATAAGGAAAGCAAATAAGAAAAGAATACTTAATATATAAGGCAGAATGTGGTTAATGGCACCAAAAAAAAGTAACTGAATAAATAGAGATTTGTGGGAGCTCAGAGAAAAGAGTGAACTCTGGGCTCGGGGTGCACCAATCTTTGGAGAGATGGGGCCTCAACCACACTTTAGGGGTGGACAGACGCTCAGTCTGTGGAGAAAGGGCATGTGAGATGGATGTAGCATCCAAGAGGAAGGGACCTTGCCTTTCTTTCTCACCTGTGTAAGCCCAGGACCTGGACCTGGACCAGGGCCTGGCACACAGTAGATGTCTGACAGACATGCGCCAGCTCTACGAGGGAAATTAAAGTGAGGGCTATGTTTAGAACACGGCAAATGGCCTCATACGAATCAGGATACATAATGGAGAATGTAAAGGAGTCAGGGTGAATAGGGCAGGCTGGGGCCACGTCTCAGAGCCTTAAAGCCAGGCCAGCTCTCTGAGTTGTGACTGCAGGTCCTTAAGCAGAGGAATGACATGAGCAGAACACACTTTGATGATTAGCCGGGCGGCAGGGTGTAGAAGGTTATACTAGTGAACATGTGAAGCAATGAAAGCCTGAAGCTGTGAAGGCCACAGTGAAATGGAAGGAAAAACACTAGCTGACTAGGATGTTCAGGCCGTGGTCACTGAGAGACTAAAAAGTACAAAAAAAAAAAGAAGGGACTTGAAGATGTCATCAGTTTTTACCCTGGATGAATGAGTGTTGGTAGCAACAATAACAGAAATAGAAACATCTCCAGAAGTTAGGTAAGTAGTCATGATTGGTTGGCTTTTAAACCACCCAAGCTCTGGGTGAATGGATGTTGCAATAAGCAACACAATTCCAGACCCGAGGACGAGGCCTGCTCCCAAAATAATCAAAAGCAAAATAAAGCAAAAACCTTAATCATTTTTGAATAAATGAACATATATTGAACATATATATGCCTAAATTTTCAACATTGAAGAGTTAGGAGAGAGCATACCCTAATCTGCAGCTATAGTAATACCCCAACTCTGAGGCAACCAATTATATCAGCTTGTGAGATCTGTTTTAACTAAACTTATATTCTGTAAGGTGAAACAGTTCTGTATTTGCATCAAGAGATGTAGGTCAGAAAGACAGGTACTGCGCAGCACCCTCACAGGGAGATGGAGGGTAGACCTGAAGACTCCTGGGTACTCTGATAAAGAATGAGAGACAGGCAGGGGAAGTCTCAGTGACACTTACTACCCTCCTCCTCCCATGAAGGGTATGAGGCATTCTTCCTTCTATTTTGATCCTATTATGTGTCAGCCACTTTATATGCACTATAATCCTAAGACCAACCCTCTAAAGTTGGTTTCATTGTCCCCACTTCATACATGAGGGCACTGAATCTCCAATCAATGAATAATTTTCTAATGGCGATACAATACTAAGTGGCAGGGTTGGAATCAGATCAGAATTACAATCGTGGGACTCTAAAGCCTGTGTTCTTTCCATTCTAGTGCGTAATCAGAGAAGAAGGAAAGCTCTTGAAGCCAGATTTTGGGAAGACTGAGTGAGTGGGAAAGCTGAAAAAGCCAAAACAGTTTAAAAATCGGTTTCCATGTTTTTAAAAATAAAAATGTAAAATACAGCTCCTGTAGACATATCACCAAAATTACCAGTCAAAAACCAGTTCTGGTGTCTACAGTGTGTTTGAACAACCAATCAGACCCATCTACTTGTAAGGCGGTGGGAGACTGCTGGGAAGGTCCCCTGCAACGGGCAGTAGTCAAGTCATAGAGAAAGACTCACTGGTCCCTAAAATAATGCGAAACATCATGTAAATTCTTCTTTCAGGTGATCCCAAAGAACAATGCACACATTATGCTCACCAGGGCCCAAGAGGTCCATGTATTTATTATCCCCACTTTATAAGTGAGGAAATAGCCTGTGAGTCAACTGCATAGCTGAGCCCTGTGCTCAGACTATGTAAACACACACTGCTAATGTTAACATCCTAGCAAACAGGTGGGAGACACGTGTTTCACTCGTCTTTCTTTATGGCTTTTTTGACAATTCATTTCCTACCCAATTTCGTGAAGTTTTAGATTATGAAAATTGTTAATGAATATGGAAAGGGAACTCCTTTTTCATTCCTTGTCCTCCACATGGCACAAAACTTAGATAAATTAAAATCTTGAGAAGCAGCATCCAAAATGGAAGGATCAGTTGGCTTTAGAATACCTAATAGGTCCCCTGATGCTAGATTTCCATATATTTGCATAGCTGATTCTAAACTGCATCCACCCTCCCTTACCCCACCAGCCTTCAGAGTTGACTGCTGACACAGACACACTTGCCTAGCACTTGCTCGGAGAATTCAAGGCCCAGGGTAAACAGACCACACCCTGTATATCAGGAGGCCTGGATTATAGCATACAAAAGGTGGGAACAACCTCTAGAGGTGTCTGGAATCTGTTACATCTGGCCCATCCAAGCCTGATATCCAGAGATAGCAAAGAAAAGCCACAGGCAGATCAAAGGGCATTACCACCGGCAAGGCTGCAGCTGAGGAATTTATCTGATACTGCATACTAACACAGCGTTTGCCCAATCAGGCCCCTGATGTGAGGCATTTTCACTTTGACACGGGGTGGGCGGGGAGGGCGGGGAGGAGAGGCTCTGGCTGCAGCCAGGATGTCAACTCACTGGGAACAATGCGGGCCCTACTAGGGAGGAAAATGTACAGCTAGTGACTACACTCACTGACTAATAGTCACAGGCCCACCGTATACGGTTGAAATGTTTTTTAGGAAACAGAAACTAATGCACTGAAGGTGTCTCAGGATGTGCGAGACATTCGAAATTTTTGGTTATTTCACAGTTCTGATTCAGTTTACTGTTAGCGGAAATATTTCCTCTGGGACAGGCTCTGCTGTGAGAACCCGAGCGGCCGAGCTCTAAACTTTCCTGACTACACGTGACAAGCTACGAAACAAAACAAAAGCGACCGCGGAAACCTCAATACAAAACTTCGCAGACCCTGGAGCGGCGCTGCTCAATAAACGTAAACCACATATACGATGTTACATTTTCTATTGGCCCCATTAAAAAGACACGTGAAAAGAATTTTACCAGTGTCTTAAATTTCTGGGCGTTCTAACCGACGGCAGGGTCAGCGAGCTACTGCGGGTTTCAGTACTGACTGCTGGGGGTCTGAGGGCAACATTTCCGAGCTCAACGCCACCTGTGCCCAGGAGCCCGACTTCGGAGAAAGGGGGCGCAACCCCGTCTCCCCGGCAGCCACGGCGGCATCCATGCGCGACATGCGGAGCGGGGGGCGGCGAGTCTGGTGCGGTCCTAAGCGCGCGATCGCCC